AACATTGAGTTGGATCTTCTGTGTTTATCCATTCTGCCAATCCTTGTTTTAATTGGAAAGTTTAATCCATTCATATTTAAAGTAGTTACTGATAAAGGAAGGCCTTCCTTCTATAAGTTCAGTGACCTATAAAAGCGCTGCTCTCTGGGCGCCTTGGTGGCTCAGTCGTTAAGCGTTTGCCTTCGGCTCAGGTCATGATCCCAGGGTCCTGGGATTGAGCCCCACATTGGGTTCCCTGCTCAGCGGGAAGCCTGCTTCTCCCTCTCCCACTCCCCCTGCTTGTGTTCACTCTCTCGCTGTGTCTCTGTCAAATAAATAAATAAATAAATAAATAATACTAAATAAATAAATAAAATCTAAAAAAAAAAAAGCCGCTGCTCCCTTATAGTTCTGTCCCCACTTTGGTTGCTGAGGTCACAAAATTACATTTTTAGAGATTGTGTGCCCCAAAACATAAGCTAATAATTTTAGAAATGCATTAGTGTCTTAAATTATATAGAAAACAAGATTTGGAGTTACAAATCAAAGTTACAGTAATACTAGCTTTTACACTAATAATTGCTTTTTTCTTTATTAGTCTTTTTTTTTTTTTTTTAAAGATTTTATTTATTTATTTGACAGAGACACAGCGAGAGAGGGAACACAAGCAGAGGGAGCGGGAGAGGGAGAAGCAGGCTTCCCTGCGGAGCAGGGAGTGCGATGCGGGGCTCGATCCCAGGACCCTGGGATCATGACCTGAGCCGAAGGCAGACGCTTAACGACTGAGCCACCCAGGCGCCCCTCTTTATTAGTCTTAAATCATGTACAAAATGAAAAGTTCAGTTACGAACCACTGTTAGGAGAATAGTAGCATGGTTTTTTAAAGATTTATTTTATTAGAGAGTGAGCGAGAGAGAGAGCGCGTGCACTCACACTTGTGCAGGAGGAGGGGCAGAGAGAGAGGGAGAGAGAATCTCAAGCAGATTCTGCACTGAGTGTGGAGCCTGATGCAGGGTTCGCTCTCATGACCCCGAGATCATGACCTGAGCTGAAATCAAGAGTCAGTCACTTAACCGACTGAGCCACCTGGGCACCCTGAGAAAACTAGCTTTTATGATTGTCCTTGTATTTACTTTTTTGAGATCCTTATTTCTTCACACGGGCTAAGTACTATCTGGTGTCCTTTTTATGTAACCTCACAGGGTGTTCTTGAGCATTTCCTGCAGGGCAGTCCAGTGGTCATGATGTCCTTCAGCCCTTATCCATCTGGGAGTATCTCCACATATCCCCCACTTCTGAATGACAGTTTTGCTGGATATAGGATTCTTGTTGGACCTTTTCTTTTAGCACTTTGGATATATTAGCCCACTATCTTCTGGTCTCCAACTTTTCTGATGAGAAATCTGTTGATAATTTTATGTGATTTTACTTCTCCCCTTGGGCTTTTAAGATTCTGTCTTTGTGTTTTAAAAGTTTGATAACAGGGCGCCTGGGTGGCTCAGTTGGTTAAGCAACTGCCTTCGGCTCAGGTCATGATCCTGGAGTCCCGGGATCGAGTCCCACATCAGGCTCCCTGCTTAGCAGGGAGTCTGCTTCTCCCTCTGACCCTCTTCCCTCTCGTGCTCTCATTCTCTCTCTCTCAAATAAATAAATAAATAAATAAAATGTTTAAAAAAAAAAATCTCTAAAAAAAATCTTTAAAAAAAAAAGTTTGATAACAATGTTTCTCTGTGTGGGGTTCATCTTGGAGTTCACTTGGAGTTCATTGAGCATCTTGGATGTTTATATTCATCTTTTTCATTGGGGGGTTTTTAGCTGTATTTCTTCCACTGCTCCCTCTGCCCTTTCTGCCCTTTCTTCTCCTTCTGGGACTTCTACAGCAGGTGGTGTCCCACACATCCCACTGCTCTGTTCACTTTTCTTCAGTCTTTTTTCTCTCTGTTCCTCAGACTTGGTGATTTCCATTATCCTCTCTTTGCTCACATCTGTGTTTGAACATCTCCAAGGAATTTTTCATTTCAATTACTGCACTTTAAAGCTCCAGAATTTCTTAATTTCTTTTTAGGTTTTCTTTATTGGTATTTCCATTTTGTTCACATATTCTTTTTTTATCTACATCTTCCTGTAGTTCTTTGAGTATCTGTAAGATCATTGTTTTAAAGTCTTTGTCTAGTGTATTTGCAATTAGGTCTTTTTCAGGAAGAGTTTCTGGGTATTTTTTTTCTCTTGAATGGCCTATACTTTCCTGTTTGTTTGTATGCCTTATGATATTTTTCTATGCATGTGTGTGGAGCACTGGATATTTGAATTGAATGTGATAACTCTAGAAATCAGATTCTCTCACTTCCCCAGGGTTTACTTTTTGTTTGTTATTGTTTTTTATTGCTTGGTTTTTTTGGAGATATAATTGACATTATAACATAATATTAGTTTCAGGTGTACAACATAATGGTTTGATATTTGTATGTGTTGTGAAATGCTTACCACAGTAAATCTAGGGATCATCCATCATCTCACATAGTTACAATTTTTCTTTTGATGAGAACTTTTTTTTTAAGATTTTTATTAGGCAGAGAGCATGAGCGAGCGGGGGGGAGTGCTAGAGGGAGAGGGAGAAGCAGACTCCCTGCTGAGAAGCGAGCCTGATGCAGAACTCAATCCCAGGACTCTGGGATCATGACCTGAGCCGAAGGCAGACACTTAACCGACTGAGCCACCCAGGTGCCCTGACGAGAACTTTTTTTTTTTTTAAAGATTTTATTTATTTGACAGAGACAAAGCGAGAGAAGGAACACAAGCAGGAGGAGTGGGAGAAGGAGAAGCAGGCTTCCCGCTGAGCAGGGAGCCCGATGCGGGGCTCAATCCCAGGAGCCTGGGATCACGACCTGAGCTGAAGGCAGACGCTTAACGACTGAGCCACCCAGGTGCTCCATCTGACGAGAACTTTTTAAGGTTGACTCTCTTAGGGGCACGTTGGTGGCTCAGTTGGTTTAGCGTCCAACTCTTGATCTCAGCTCAGGTCTTGATCTCAGGGTCATGAGTTCAAAACCCACGTTGGAGCCTACTTAAAAAAAAAAAAAAAAAGACGCCTGGTTGGCTCAGTCGGTTAAGCGTCTGCCTTCGGCTCAGGTCATGATCCCAGGGTCCTGGGATCAAGTTCCTCATAGGGCTCCTTGTGCAGCGGGGAGTCTACTGCTCCCTCTCCCTCTGCTTCCCCCCCGCCACATTCGTGCTCTCTTTCTCTCTCTCTCTCTCGTAAGTAAGATCTTTTTTTAAAAAAAAGATTTGACTTCCTCAGCAACTTTTGAACATACAATACAGTATTGTTAGGGCGCCTGAGTGGCTCAGTTGGTTAAGCGACTGCCTTCGGCTCAGGTCATGATCCTGGAGTCCCGGGATCGAGTCCCGCATCGGACTCCCTGCTCAGCGGGGAGTCTGCTTCTCCCTTGGACCCTCCCCCTCTCATGCTCTCTCTCTCTATCTCATTCTGTCTCTCAAATAAATAAAATCTTTAAAAAAAACAAGACAATATAGTATTGTTAACTATGGTCCCCATTCTGTATATTGTTTTTGTTTTTGCGGAAGGTTGTGGGCAGTTTCTGTGCCTGGGAGCAGCCTGCAGTGTAAACTTAATGTCTTCCCAGGTCTTGTCTGAACCCTTCCTTGGGCGTCACTTTCTCATTTTTCCCCATATACGTGGTTGTTTTGAATGGTCTGTTTCTTAATATCTGTCTCCTGAAAGTGGGAAAGTGAACAATGAAGGAGGGGAAAAGGGCACCAGTTTTTCAAATCCCCTGGAAGTCACCTCAGCCAGAGGGGCAAGGGCCTGCCACAGGTGGGAGGGGTGGGAGGTTGACAGCAGTGGCTGCCCACCTCTTTCCATCTCTGTGATGAAAAGGAGTAGTCAGCAATCAGAGCAAAGATTCCCGATACTTGGAGCACAGGGTCATTTTTGCTCACCCTAGTTCCTGGAAGCTGCTTTGGGGACACATGTATGGCTGCCTGCCATGGGGCTGGGAACAGAGGGCTACAACTGTGCTAAGAGCTGAAATTGACAGCAGTTTACCCTCCAGGCCCTCCCCTATAAGTTGTAAGCCTTCAACACACTCTGGAGTTCCAAAATCGTTATTCTAGTTTAAGATTTATTTATTTATTTATTAGAGAAAAAGTGTAAGTATGTGAGGGACAGGGGAGAGGGAGAGAGAGAATCTCAAGCAGACTCCGCTTTGAGTCTGAGCCAAATCAAGAGTCGGACGCTCAACCGACTGAGCCACCTAGACACTCCCAAAATAGTTGTTTTAGATTCTATTAGTGCAGTTGTTGGTCCAGGTGGGTAGACAATTCCCAGTGCTTCCTACTCCACCATCTTCCCAGAATCCAAATCATGGAGCCTTTCTTTGTCTGTGTCCCTTCTTTAGGTGGACTTGCTCTTTTCTTTACAGATTGAACATCTTTTGAAAGTGCATAGGGGGGCGCCTGGGTGGCTCAGTTGTTAAGCATCTGCCTTCGGCTCAGGTCATGATTCCTGGGTCCTGGGATCGAGCCCTATATTGGGCTCCCTGCTTAGCGGGAAGCCTGCTTCTCCCTTTCCCACTCCCCCTGCTTGTGTTCCCTCTCTTGCTCTGTCTCTGTCAAAAAAATAAAATATTTAAAAAAAAGTGCATAGGGAGGGGCATAAAGAAAATTCTGTTGTGTTTCCCTGGAAAAAGACGCACTGTGGTCACTCCACATTTGACTCTTGGAAGGGATGAGAATCAGCAATAAGGAAAGCACTCCTGCCTTTAGGGGAAAAATCACTATGAGAAATTTTGTGGCAGAGCCATAGCTTTTTTGGGTCACTCCTAGACTGTTTGCTTTCCAGTGGCCAGTGCAGCCATTTTAGGAATTAAGCTCACCAGGCCACTGACGTTTAAGGTGTAATAGCCACTGAGTACCAGGGATGGCAGGAAAGCTCTAGAAGCAGAGAGCCTGCCTTCAGGGGGTTTCCACAGACTGCCTCTAGTGTTCTCTCTCTGTTTCAGGACTCTGTTTAAGGAGAGCAGACGAGGCCACGGGCACTTGACATCAATCCTGTGAGTGTCTCAGTATTTTCTCTTCTCAGGGCGACTGTTATTTTCACCTCCTTTGTGGATCTCCTCTAAACCTTTTCTGTGTTCATTCCTTTGAACAGGGCCAAGAAGAAAGTAATGGCCTCTTCCAAAATCAAGATGAAGGTGAGTCAGCCTGCTCAGGTCATGTGCTCTTCTCCTTTCTCTCCAGCCATGCATATGAAACCTCTTAAGCGACTAGAGCAGCTCATTGAGGTTGGCTGGACTGGGGGACAACTCTTCAGGATGGCACCCTTGAGGCTGTCCAAGAGGCAGCCTGGCCCATCGCAGGAGCCTGAGGTTGGCAGGGCAGAGACCTGAGCCGGGCCACTTAGTACCTTCCAGCCTTAGTTCTAGGAGACAGTACCCATCTGGCCCGTTCCTGGGGTGGTGGTGGTGGTGGTGGTGGTCAGATTTCAATGAGGTTTTCCTGACAGCCCTCTGAGGCATGAAGAGCCCCTGCAGATGTGAAGGTCATATAGTGTGATGATATTCTTTTCATGAAAGAACACTGCTAGCCAGGTGCAGGTTTGCCTGGAGCTGTACCGGAAGGGACAGGTGGCTTTGTTGTGTTTGCCTGGTGGAGATGGGGGGGGAACTGAAAACCATCTTAGGCATTTCAGAAGCCTTTCAATATAGTAAAAAATTGCTGTTTTACTGAAATTTTTAACAGCTCATGTGGCTTTATAGTGTCCTTAACCGTACATAAACAGTCCATGAGAATAAGCTGTGTAAACTCTGTATTCTAAAGTATCTGTTGAGGTCCTACAGTGTCTAGGACAAATTGCATTAAGCACTTGGAATGTGAGAGTGATGAGGTAGACCCTGTTCCCACTCCCGTGACAGGACTTTTCCTTTGCACCCAACTGAGGAGACAGATGCTGGAGAAGACCAAGGAGGAGAAGAAAGCTAATTTAAGGCAATTCTCATGCCATGCATCATTTTCTGATTGCAGCTGGGAGTACTCTGAGACAGTGTGTGGCCAGTAGGGAGAGCATCTCTTTGCTCGAGTCTTACACTTTTTCAGAAACAGAGAAGAAGAGTTTCTTTGTGGGTGGATGGGTACCTAGCAGGAAAGCATGCTTGGTAAGCCCAGCCCCAGCGAGCCAGACAGGAGCCAGAGGGGGTGAAGGAGTTCAGCACTTTCAAGTCCAAGCAGGCATGGCAACCGCTCTCTTCCTGTCTTGTTTTGTGATTGTACAGGAAGACCTGGTTCTTTGGGCCTTGTGGTGTTCTCACATTTGTGTTCTCACCACAGGGCCAGTGTTGGCACCTTTGGACATTTCTAAACATCAGAATTCCTGCTTTCCTTTAGGAATCATCTACTAAGCCTGATAAAAAGGTTTCCATCCCACCAGGCCAGATTGGCGGCCCCCTGGCTTTGCCTTCAGAACACCTGGGAGGAGGCCTGAGCACTGGGGCTACAAACAGGGAGCTCTCAGCCCAGGCATCTGGCAGCCTTGCTAATCCTGCTCCTATCAACCTGGAGGACTCGTTGGATGGAGACTTGATCCGTAATTCAGCCTCCTCATTGGAGGTGGTGTCTAAGGAACTGGCTGTGCTGAGCAGCAGAGCAGGTGGGAGCTCTGAGTTCCCACTGCCAGCACCCTCAAAAGTACCTGCAGAGAAGATGGTGGGCGTCGTGTGTTCAGAAGAGAAGAGGAACTTTCTGAAGCCCAGCCCTTCTGCCCCGCCAGCCTCTAGTTCCCTGCAGTCTCCCCTCAATTTTCTGGCCGAACAGGCTTTGGCACTGGGGCAGTCCTCTCAGGAGACAAAACCAGAGAGCTCTGGCTACAAAGAGCTGTCCTGTCAGGCCACGCTCAGCAAGGGCCTGTCGGAAGTGCACCAGTCCAAAGCAAAGCACCATGGCTTGCCACGGACGCCTCATGCACCCCAGGCGGCAGCTCCTGTGCCTGGCCCCCAAGTCAAAGTCTTTCATGCAGGCACTCAACAGCAAAAGAGCTTCACCCCTCCAGCTCCTTTTGTCAATAAGCTCCAGGGCCCAAAGCCTTCCTCCCCGCAGTGCCATCGTTCCCTCCTCCAGCTTGTGAAGACAGCAACCAAAGGCCAGAGCTTCCATCCCTCCACGCCGGCCTCTTCAGGAGGCACACCAGCCTCTAGCAGCAACTCTCATAAGACCCCAGCCTCGTCCTCCACTGCCCTGAGCCATCCAGCAAAACAGCACTCAGCCAGCTCTTCAGGGCCATCTTACAAGAATAGTCCCTTTGCCAGCTCGGTCTCTAAACACGGGGTTTCTTCTGGCAGCTCTTCCTCTGGAGGAACACCAGTCCAGAGCTCTGCTTCCGGGAACCTGCTCCCCGGCGTACAGCCTCCCTCCGCAGGACCGTCTGCCAGCAGACCTGTCCCAGGCTCTGCAGTGAAAAAACCACCTGTTTCCCAGAAGCTGACCCTGGTGGCCCCTCCGGGTGGTCCAAGTGGAGACTCCAGTGGTGGGACCCAGGGAGTGGCAAAGCTACTGACCTCCTCCCTGAAGTCCAGCGCGGTTAGCAGCGTGACATCGTCTACCTCCTTGCCAGTGAGTGTCCTGGCACAGCAGCCCGCCCCTCGTGGGTCTTGTGGACAGGGCCGCTTGCCTTGCCCTGCTCGGAGAGTGAGATCTGACACTGAAGGTCAGGTAGGAACAGTGAGCCCAGAAATCCGAAGGAGGACTGGGCTTCCTGTTTTCAGGTCTTTACTTTTCTGGTGGTAGGAATCTTAGGAGAGCCTGAAACTTCTCTTGAGGATGAGCAGAAGGAAGGGCCTAGTTTGCAGGGATACTATGATTGTGGGTGGTATAGAACGAGCCACAAAACTCCTTTTCTATCTCATAGCTCCTACTTGTCCATCTCTCCAAACAAGTAAACGAAATGCTGTCACCTCTCAGATCAGCAGCTTTGTGGAGATGTTCATGCCCCAGGAAGAGTGACTCTTGGTTGGGTTTTAAAGGACTCTCCAGGTCAGACAGAGGCAGTTTGGCAGAGTCCAGTGGTTAATGAGGCTTGCCTGTGGGTAATTACAAGAAATTTGGATGCAGGTTGGGGGCATGGGAGAGAGCAGTTGTTTTCATTTTTTCAGTATATAAAAAGATTCTATGTTTACAAAGACAAAACTATAGAAAGGTATGTTCAGCAAGGTCTCACCTGCCTCTGTTCTGTCCTACCACCCCTGCAAGGTGACTATTCCTTAGTTTCACATTTTTCCTGTTTTTTCTAAAAGCAAAGATCAGTACAAACAAATGTGTGTATGTTTTATGTATATAAATATGGACACACCAGTGTATGTACCTACATCTGTGGATGTCTACAGAGGATATCCTTCCTTTCTTACACAAAGGAGGCATAGTTAATACCCAGCTTTTTAAGTGGACACTGTCCTAGGAGCCATTCCACGCCAGTTCAGAGGCTGTCATCTTCCTTCCTCTGGGGCACCAGAGCACGGGGCACCTTCCTGAGGGGTGGTCTATGAGTGGGTCCCCGCTCTGCACGTCCGTTTCCAGCCTTGGTCTGTGTGTGAGCTGCGGATGGAGCTGGCGTTCTGACCATGCTGTGTTTCCTCCCCAGAAAGGAACGAGTGGGGCTGTGCTGCTGGCCAGCTCCTCGCCCTTAAATCTGCTGTCTGCATCCTACAAGTCCGGCAGCGCGAAACTGCCCGGAGCCATGAACTCCAACTCCCTGGGGATCATCTCCCAGTTTCCCCTCCACGTGCTCTCCTTCAGCGCCGAGTCCTCTGCGAAAGCAGGGGTTTCCAAGGATGCCATCGTCACGGGTCCTGCCCCTGGGACATTCCACCATGGCCTCAACCATAGTAAGTGCTGCTCTGTTTCTCCTCATGCTGGAGGGACAGAAGGTTCCCCAGCACCTGTGCCCCCACTGATGAGTTCTTTTGTCGTGTGCTGGGTTCCTGTGTTTGTCTGGTGTGTGACCATGGGCAGCGTTCCTGGGATCCATGCTGAGCCCCCCCTCCCCTTGGGGTTCTCACCCAGGACCGGTCCAGTAGGTTGTCTGGGCTCTCAACCACCGAAGCAGCTTTTCTGTTCCTGTCTTCAATGTGTGTGTTTTGTTCTTTTCTCCCCTCCTGTTTTCTCTCAGGTCTCCTGGCTGGCTTGCATTCCAGCCCACCCCGTGCAGCGCCTCTCCCACACGCTGCCGTGTCCACCCACATCCCGCAGAGTCTGCCAGGTAATTGCCAGGTGATCAGAGTGCCGTGCATCCCGTACGCCATTCTGCTCCCTACCCATTAGATGCCTTGTCTGCTGCCAGGGAGTTTAGTGTCTTCAGCTCGCTGTTACAATGTTGTCTTGGTTTGTCCTTCAAGGCTCTGGCTCTTCGGGTACTCAGAGAGACTGACAGAGGCTTCCACTTTGAAATTTCCCCTCATTCCCCACTTGGAACTGCCACTGGGTCAGCCTTATCCTGTGTGATCACAGGGGAGTTTGTAATGGCCTGTGTGCGAGGCAGGTGAATTCCCTTAGCTAAAGTTGGTGCTCACATCAGTGCTAATACCCAAGGGCTAATTGGGGCACTGAAAGGCCTTTACGTTGAAGCTGCTGCACCTTCCAGGTGCGGCCAGCTAAACTTTAAGTGAAAGGGAGAACCCAAACAGCAGCAAGGTCACAGGGGCAAGGTCTTAGGAGGGACCCTTCCCTGTAATGTCAGCCTGTGTGCCAGAGAGGAGCATCTTTCATTTGAGTTCAGGGGTGAAGGCAGACATTAGGGAGCACAGCAGGACCTGGGGCAGCATTCCTCTTCTCTTCCTGCTTTTCATCTCTGTAGGTCAGTAGATTTCAGAAAGGGATGTGGTATTGCTGTGAGAAGGCCGCACAGATGCTCCAGCTGGCACCTTCCCAGTAAGTGATTGGCCTCGCCCTGTGCTGGAACATGATTCGTAAACATGCCTAATGGCACACTGGTGGGAAGCCTCATGGGATGTTGGTTTTGGCCTACTGTGCTCTTCTTACTACTCTAGACCTGCTCCAGAGAGGACCGGGGATGCTACGTCAGTCAGGGGAGAGCCATTCTTCAGGAAGCTGAGCCTGGGTAGCACTGGTGCACAGGTGCCAGGGTGGGAGTAAGATAGGGAGCTTGCCTGGCTGGGCATGCCTGTGGCCTGATGCTTCCCAAGTCTGTGTCTATCTCCAGATTTGCTATGGGTCTCTGGCCCCCGTGTCCCAAGGCTGATGCATTCCTAGTGAGCACCACAGGCCGTCTGGGCATAAGACTGGACTGAAAATTTTCAAGGTGGAAATTTTGCTTCTTTAGAGAAAGGAACCAAGGGGCTAAGCTTCCTGGATCAACAGTGACTCCATTTTCCTCTAGAGAAGCTATAGCTACAGTGGACTTACTCTGCAAACTGGCGGCTGCTGTAGTAGCTAAGAGAATAATATGGGGGTCACAGAGCCACCTAGGTGGGAGTGTGTGGTTTGAAAGATGGCACATCACAGTGCCAGGAGATGCTCCACTTAGCAGAAAGAGCATAGTTAGCCGGACCTTTCCTCTGAAGAGGTCACAATTTCCGTGGCACACGGAATGTCACACTTTCAAACAGAAACAAAATAATTGAAGAGCCATTGGAACGTGACTGTTGGCCTGTGGTATTTTCAACAACCACAAAAAGGAAAAGCACTTTCCTGTACCCTCTCTGTCTCCTTTAGCCCTTCTTCACGTTGGAGGATTACGTTGAGTGGTTGTTAAGTGAAAAGCTGCCTGCTTATTTCAGCTGTGTGACTGTGTCTGCCTTGCTTTCTTTCCCATGCAGACTCGGAATGCTAGCACCTTTGAACTTGTCTTTGTAGGGCCGGAGGGTTTTGATGGTGAGAGTGCTCACTGCTGCTTGAGTGGAGCGCAGCGCGCCAGGGGATGGTGGTGGCAGCAGGGAACGGAAGCGGCTCTGGGTGTGCGGCACGCAGCGGGCAGCTGCCATCACAGAGCTCAGAGTGCCATGCACACTGCGAGCTGCTGCAAGTGGCAGTGCTTTCAGTCTTTGCCAAGGGTTTTTGGGCTCAGCGTTCGGGGGGCTTTTGCTATTTAGGTGATCTCCTTGAGGTTTTGTTACCGCCACCTTGAGGGAATCTGAGATCCTGAAAGACTTGTTATTTTTGCTTATTCTTTTCCAGATGCTTCTCAACTTCACGGAAAAGGGCCCGGTGTACCACGGAAATTGTGACCTCTTCAGAGGAAAGGCCCGACTAACGTAGGTCTGGGCGGAAGCTGAACAAGTAGGTCTCAGAAACTGGATAATCACTATGCTCTTTCTGCCCCGATTGGCTTTCTTCTGGAGAAGGTGTGAGTGCTAAGTGGAGCGTCTCTTGGCACCGTGATGTGCCTTCTGTTAGGGGACCAGCCCTGGGCTTCTCCGGAGGCACGGACTGGCCTGGTGCTCCGGGCTGCGCGGCTGTGTCATGGACAATCGTTGGAGGGGCAGCTCTGGGCTGGGGTGCGCGCTGGGTCATGTACGAAGCTCTGGTGTCAGGGTGGAGCAGTTGGCACACGTGCTTTAAATCCACCTGACCCCTGGCATTTGGTCAGAGTACCTCATGGTGCCCTAGTGGTCAGGGACTCCTCCTGGCCACAGTGGGATCCCTGGATGGTCATGGTGTCTGTCCCATCCTCAGGCTGTGTGCTCAACAGGACAAAAACCTCCCAGCTAATACACAGCTGGGAGACTTACCTTGTTTTTTTGAAAAATACTCAGAACACCTAATGTGTGCTCATCATGGTGGGGGCCAGCATCTCTGCTGAACGTGACAGTGAAGCTCTTTCAGAGAAAAGACCTTTGTAGATTCAACAGTTGTGACAGGATTTTTAAAGACACTTATTTTGGTCCAGATTTCATCATTACCATTAATGCATTGGATAGAATGGGACTGCTTTTTGCCTGTCATATTATAGTAAGACATAATTCCAGTGCCTTTATGGTGGAGCAGAATTAGACACGTCCATTCAGCCCTCTGGGTGGATCTCAGATGGAAGACTTTTTTAAAAGATATGTCTGTATTTAAGACATAACCAGTTTGAGTTTTTTACAGTTGCACATCATAATCTGTGCCGTCCTGACTTGAAGGTCATCTGGGCCCCCAAATCCCAAGTCCCAATACAGCCCGGGCCCCCATTTTATTTCAGAGTTCATACAGGTGGACTGCAGAGCCCCAAAGCCCTTCATCTCTTAGAGGGCCGAGGATATGAGGGGTTCCAAGTCACAGACATTCCAGTTTGTTTTGTTTAGAAACCGTTGTCAGGCAGAGCTGCAGGAACAGACCTCTGTGAAGCGTCTGCCATGTAGAAACAGGCCTCGCCGTCCTGGAGCTCTCCACGCAGCAGGGCTGGGCGTTGACTTAAGGGTGGCGCACCGATGAGCATGGAGAGTGCGCCAGAGACAGACTAGGACAGCTACCGCGGAGCGCACTCAGCAGGCGGCTGCTTCACAAGGATGGTTAGGGCACTTGCCTGTCCGGTGAAGTGTGTACCACAGGGCGTGTCTGAACTGACTGCTTCAGCTAAGTGATTGCAATTATGTTAAGAGTAATCCGCCTCCTCAGAATGTACACCTGTGTGACGACACAGGCAGCTCTCTTGGTTCCTGCCTTCCAGGGTACAGTGCTCAGTAACTCAGTTCATGCAGAGGTTTGCCCAGGTTCCAGTGGAGCAACACCTCTGTCAGCTGTCCGGCTAGGCCTCTGCTGTTTGTTTGGCTTTTTTCTTTTTCTTTTTTAAACGTAAGAACCAACATGTGTTTCACATGGGCTAGAGTGGATTCCTTATCCCTTCATTGTACCTATTTTTTGCAACTTGGGTTTCCAGTTTGTTTACAGAATAGTCTTAGGTAGTAGCAAAAGAGCCAAAGAAGAGATTTGTATTGCTGAGCTCAGAGCCGGGCAGAGGCCGCCCATGAACACTGAGCAGTGGGAACTCTCCAGGTTTCTCCACCCGAGAACACCCAAGCTCCCTTCCCTGCCTCGCTCCCTCCTCCCCATGTACCATTGAGTGTGCAGCTGGAGCAGAATACCCTCATTTTTAGGAATCTAGTGATGCCTCTTGCCTCAGGGAAACGTTTCTTTGATGGGGAGTTTATGAGATTTCTTTTTCTTGTTTATGCTTTATTTGTGGTAACGAAAGAGTGAGTGACTTACACAGCCACGGCTGTTGCGCCCGGCAGGCAGAGCGAGCTCCGGGGCGGGGTGGAGGGGGGTGCTGCCCTCGGTGCAGCCGCTCCTGAGGTGTGAGAGGGGCTGTGGCTTTTGTGCGGCGAGACTATGTTGGTGTTGGGGGTGGTGTGGAAATTGTTAATCTTGTATAAAGCAACTAAATAAATTGTTTCAAGGTTTCCAAAACATTGTTTCTCATTCTTTTTACCTTTTTTGCAACTAATTCTTCTTCCCCTAGGAGCTGGTAGATGTGGAATATCCATTTTGGCCATAAGCCAAGAGGGAGCAGAGGAAATAAAAAGCCTCATGTGCAAAAGAAGAAGAAACACTATGAAATTAGAATCAAGCCACCAGGTGTTTATTTTCGCATTATAAATAGAGTTCCCTAGTCCCATTTTCTTACATAATACATGAGATAACAGAGAACCTAAAGTTCATTTGGTGAAAAGTCAGTGTATGGTTAGTATACCTCAATACCAATGAGCGGATAAGAAGACTTGTAAGGCACTAAAACTAAGGCTAATAGTAATACAGTCCTTTATGAAAATACTTTAATTTCAGAACCACAACACATTCTCTGATGGTGTGTTTTCCTGGGACAGTCTGGCTGACAGTTTACCTTCACTCTAGCACCGAAGGCCAGACATTTTTCTGGCTTCTTGGCACCTTTTCTGGCCTAGAACCCGAATCTGTCTCACCAGGAGGCCTCTGACAGAAAGTCTGCTCTCAGCCAGTACCCAGGGGGATATGAATGCAGGTCAGCAGCCCTGAGGGTCCCAGTCCATTGATGTACGGAAAGGTATGTGAAAGGGAGGCCTTTCTGCCCGAGGGTCCCCCCCACCTGGGGTGTGAAGGCCGGTGCTCGGAGTGGGCTTGTCTTCTTCAGTCGTCATGGGTCGTGTGCTTTAGTTTTTTCGGGTTTCCAGGCGTCACACAAGGAGTCTATTGATGGAAGTGTGTAGGAAAAGGGACAGCAGAGTGGCATCATGATTGATCATCAGAGAATGAAGCAGGTCCCTCACCCAGGTTGAATGACAGCGAGGGTTGGGGGATATGCTCAGCTCTGCACAGGTCAGAAGTCTGCACAGGGCCAGGGAGGAGAAGACACGGTGGTACTGGGTAGGCTTCCAAGAAGACGGGGGGCTAGGCTGTGCCTATTTCTGTCCAGACACCAGGACGGCCAGCTCCTGGATGGACATATCCTTGTTGACATAGTGGTCATACTGAGCCGGTGTCAGCCTTCCTTTCTGCAGGGCCTCTTCAATGGAGAACTTCCTGCCAGACTTCCTGTCGTGGATCACGGAGGACTCTCCGCTAGGACCCTTCACCGAGATTTCCTCCCAGTCACATTCCTGGCTCCTGAGTTTGACAAACATGTTCCAGTCGATGAGACCGGCCCGATGGGCTTCCTCTGGGGACAGCTCCCGGCCCGTGTCGGGGTCGATGACCACAATGGAGCGCCGGAGGTGGTTCTCCCTCTGCTCCCTCTTGACGGCCACGGAGCCCAGGCGCTTCTGCAGCTCATCGATCTCAAGGTCTTTGTCTTTGGAGAGCCTCTTGAGGTCATCCAGTTCTCTCTCCAGGGACCACAGTCTAGAGTCCAGGTTCGTCGCAGAGTCTGCCGTGGTCATGTTTCTCAGGTCTCGTGTTTCTGTTGCAGCCATTTCAATTTCCGACTGGAGTCTCCGGGTCTCGAGCTGCAGGCTCTGCCGCTCCAGCTGCAGCCTGTGGTTTTCTTCCCTTAGGAAGTCCAGCTCTTTGGATGACTTGGAGTTACAGAACTCCAGCTCCGACAGCTTGGCTTCCAGCCGACTCACTTCCGCATCCAGATCCCTCTTGCTCCGGCTCTCCTCCTCCAGGCTGCTCTTGAGCTTCTGGATCTCTTGTTCGGTGTCACCTTTCTCCACCTGGATGCTTTCGGAGAAGACCACCTTCTCCTTGACCTCCATCTTCTCCAGGTTGTCGAGCTTCTTTCTCAGGGTCTCGAGTTCGCTCTCCAGGACCTGCCGCCGGTGCCTCTCTTCCTCGAGCTGGACTTTGAGCAGAGAGTGTTCCCTGGCCTGCTGGGGGTCCTGCTGCAGCACCACCTTCTGCTTGAGGGTCACTTTCTCCCGGGCCTCCCCCTCCTCCTCCTCCAGGTCGGCCAGCCGCTGCTTCAGGCGCTGCACCTCCAGCTCGGCCTCCCTGCGCGCCTGCCTCTCGCGTTCCAGCTCCTCCAGCTGGCGTTCAAGCTCCGCACGCCGGCGCTGCAGCCGCCGCAGCTCCCCCCGGAGGTTGTCGATCTGCCGCAGCTCCACGTCAATGCTCTCGGTGAAGGCGTTCACCTCAGCCCGCAGGCTGGGCTCCTCCTCGTACCTGACCACCTCCTGCTGGACCACCTTTTCCTTCACCTGGGACAGCTCCTCCTCCTTCTGCCTGATCTTCTCCTCCTGGGAGGCCCCCTCCCTTTCCAGATCCACTTGTTTCCTCTGTTCCTCTGAGAGCCTGGCCCGCAAAGACTGCACTTCCTCTTTGGTTTGGGGGTCTTCCTGGAACTGGAGGATCTCCTGGACCACCTCCTTGGTCTGCACCTGGGGTTTGGTGTCTTTCAGGGACTGGATCTCTTGCTTCAGCTGGTAGATTTCTAAATCACACCTTTCAATGAGTCTTGTCTTGTCCACAATCTCCTCCCTGAGCCTCTGAAGCTCCTTCTCCATCTCAGGGTCAGTCTTGTATTTGATGACTTCCTTGGTCACTTCTTTGACCTCTACCTGAGGGCCCCGCCTCCTGAGCGCTTCCAGCTCACCCCGGTAGCTCTTCAGCTGCTCCTCGGCCGCCCGGTACTTGCGCTCCTGCTCCACGAGCTCCAGGCGGAGGTTGGCCACTTCCCTCTCTGCCTCGGGGTCCGGCCGGACGATTTCCCGCACTTTCTCCTGCACCAGCACTCTGGCATTTTCCTCCTCCAAGGCCCAAATCTTGCGGAGCAGCTCAGTCTTCTCCCTCTGGTTGGCACGAGCCTTGGCCTCCTCATCCTCATACTGGCGTTTGAGGTCTCCCACCTCCCTCTCGGTTGCCACATCCTTTTCCACCTTAAGCACCTCCTTCACTGTGATCTTCCCCTCCGCCATGGCCCGCTCCTTCTCCAGCCTCTTGAGCTTGTCCTGGAGGAAGGTCAGTTCCTCCTCGCACTCATCCCTGAGCTGG